TGTGTGTGTGTGTGTGTGTGTGGCCAGCTCAGCCCACCAGGGGGCGAGGCTGGCTGGCATGTGGTGCTAGGGGATCGAACCGCGGTGCCTGTGCTTTGCCAAGCTTGTTCTAAGTAGGTGCTTTAGACCACTGAGCCATCTCTCCAGTCCCAAGATCCTCTTTAAAATATAAGTTAGCTAATGGCTTTTTTCTTTGTTCAAAATCATCTAATAATTTGACATCTTATTCAGAAAGAAATAAAATTTAATTCTCAGGCATTCTCTTCTCCTCTTTTTTGGTTCACTGCTCTCCCACCACACTGACTTCTTAGATGCCTTTATATTTCCTGTTCTGCTAGGAATGTTCTTCCCTCCTGATGGCTCATCTGTTATTTTCATCAAATCTTCAGATATCATTTCAGTGGGGCCTACCCTACCTAAAATGTCAATGTGTTTTATATTCTCTAATAATATTTCTCAGTAGTTATCATTAATAATTTTCTTAGTAGTTATCATTAACTAATATACTGGAAGTTTTGTCAGTTTTTGTCACCAGAATCCAGAAAAGGAGGATTTACTTTCCTTTCTGTTCACTGTTACATGCCCAGTATCTAGAATTGTATTTAACTCTTAGACATGCAATAGATATTTGCTGCTTAATTTATTTCGGAAAGTCATATCATATGGCTATAAAATCCTTCTTGCCACAAAAAAAGCCATCTGACAATTTCATGAATATAGCAATCAAAGCTACCTGAGAAGTATAATATTCTCTATTTAAAACATACTATTCTAAAGAAACTAATGTAAAGCATAGAACTTTCCCATCTTTAGAGGAAAATGTCAAATTTATGTTTAAAAGAATAAAGGGAAATAGACCCAGAGAAGACAAACAAACAAACAAACAAACAAACAAAAACATACTATTCTTAAAAGTTAAAATGATGTAGCTATTCAAGTGTCTTCAACAGAGTCAATACAAAGTATTTATTTGCATCCAAAGTATTTTAATAGTAAAGAATAAAGAATCTCAATAATGCATTTCTCGTATTCAAAACTAAAAATCTGGAAACTTAATAGTGAATACAGGAAAAAGTAACAAAATATAATCATACAATTATCCGAATATAACAACAAGTTTCCAGATACTATATAGCTAGTTCACATTCAGGTCAAAATACAATAATATAAAAAATAAGCTATATAAATTTTAAAGCATTAAAGTCTTTGGCTTTTGGTAAAAAAAAACAAAAACAAAAACAACTATTAAGTTGACGTTATTAGGTTCTTTTATCGCATGGTTTTCTTAAATTAAGAAAATAACTTTCCTGCTTCCTTTACTTTTTTTTTCCTGTCTACTTCAGTAACTATAGCCCAGTGGTCATCTTTCATTCTTTTCACAGATCCAAGTTTGAACACAGATCGAGAAGATCTCACAGATGTAGGTGTCTGAATACCAAATAAAACAAAATTATAGTGTTTTTAATTTTTCTTTACAAAGTCCAGCTTTAAATTTTTTTTTCTGAAATAAAATTTAAAGCCTACCTTTTTTGGAGTTTTGACACGAAAATGAGAAACTGGTGGATTACTGTTGTTGTACAGTTTGTTCACTGTTTCTTCCTCAGATACCATGCTCTAAAGAAAAATACAAAAATGTAATTTTAAGACATATTATTAAAACTTTGCCGATATATTATGTATGAAGACGATAAAATAAATAAGCACAAAGAGGAGGATGGAAAGAGAAGGAGAAATATAGAGGGGAAAAAAATCAAAGAAAGATAATAACAAGTCCTCAATCAGCCAAAAGAAAATCTGGATTTCTATTTATTAATATATACCTGAAATGTTATGTGAAATACAAGTGTACAAGGAGCAGTACTTTTCTACTAGTTTCTATTGTGTTGTCAGAATCTTCATACTACCACTTTCCCTCCCTTTTCAAACTCCATTCTGCTTACTCACGGGACCTCATAATAAGTTATAACCCCGTTAAACTTTACTATTCATTATGATCCAACAATTTCACTTCTGGATATATATCTGCTGTAGTCAGGGTTTTCAAGGAAAACAATACAGGGCATATAATTTATAGGATTATTTTATAATAGTCACCCAAAGAGTCAAGTTCAAAAGAATGCAAGAAATCTGTCCATCCACTAAAGACCCAAAGAATCCAGCTGAGGACACTGGATCCCACAATGTCTAGCCTAAGTCCAGCTGAAGACCTATAGCTCATGCCCCTCATGAGTCAAACTGGAGGCCAAGAGCCCACGACAATGTCTTACATAGGCCTGTTTCAAGGATCTGTGCTACAGCAGCCCAAAAGTCAGTGATGGAAGCTACAAAGTCTGTACTGGGATGAAGTATTGGTGCTAGCAGGTTAAGGAAATCTATAAAGGAAACAATGGTCAACCTAGGGATCCTATCCTCCAAAGTGAACCATAGCCATTTTCAGAGACAACAAGGAACTGTGCTTCAATGATGAGAACACCCAAGTTCATATCAGGAAAGGCAGCATGACAAGATCCTCCAGAAGAACCAACAGGTCCAGGAGAACCAACATCTCCCCACAGCTTCTCTTCTTCTCCAGATCTTTTATTTTGTTGGCAAAAATCATCAGGGAGGCCCTGCACACCCAGAACCATGCTGGTTCAGTTCAGCTGGGTGTTACAAGTTGATTATCAGTTGTCAATCTACCATAACTTTCAGCAAAAAAAGAAAACAGAAGAATGAAAAGGTAACTGTACACGTGTGTTCATAACACAAGAGCTAAAACATGGAAGCAACCCAAGTGAATGATAATGGATCACTATTAGATGAATTAAATGAAAGGATAAGCAAAATGTTATATACAATGTGATCACACAACAGAATGAAAATATTAAAAAATACAGTAATAGATACTTTGCTATTAATTTTACTCACTTCAAACATATCTTACTATTGTTTCCAGTTTCTGGAAGCAGTTCTAGAAGTCTGTTTTTAGTTGTGCTATGTAACTTTTCAAGCAATAGCTGGCAATTTTTTTCCCCATTCTATAGGCTGTCTCTTCACTCTGTTGTTTTCCTTTGCCATGTAGAAACTTTAATTTAGTGACCTCATTTCTTGATTCTTGGTGCTATTTCTTGTACAATTAGGGCTCTATTCAGAAAGTCCTTGCCTAGGCCTATGACTTCAAGAATTTCACCGATTTTCTCTTCCAGCACATTAACTGTCTGTAGTCATATTTACATATTTGATCCATTTATTTTAGTATACAGAGATGTAGATCTAAATTAAATCCTCTATAGTCTGTTTACCCAGCACCATTTTGTTAAAGAGGCTATCTTTCCTCCAGTATATGTTTTTGCTTTGGCTACTTTTTAACTGGGTTGTTTGTTGTGATTCAGTTGTAAAGAGTTCATATATTCTCTCATCAGATAAACAACTTGAAAACACTTCCTATTCTGCAGCTTGTCATTCTGCTTTCTTGTCTTTGATGCATGACAATCATGAATAAGTGTAATGTACCTATTTTCTCTACTATCTGTGTTTTTGGTATCACATTTGCAAAGCTGATGTGCTCCATATCATGATTTCTCTGGTGCCTTTTTTCTAGATTTTTATAATTTTAGCTCTTAAGCTCAGGTCTTTGCTTCATATCAAGTCAATTTTTTAATACAGTGTAAAGTAAGGGATCAACTTCAGTCTTCTCTACGTGGATATCCAGTTTTCCTAGCATCATTTATTGGCGGAAAAAAACCTTTCCTTTCCCCCATTGAAAAGTACTGGCACTCTTATCAAAAAATCAATTGCTCAGTTGGTCAAGCGATGGCTGTGATTCATCCACATGGCTGACACTGACAAAGGATCTACAAACTGCGGTACAAGGTAACAGGATAAATCCTAAGAGGATTTGACTGACCTTGGCAGGTACAAAAATTACATTTCTTGTTATATAGGTCTTGCTTTATCTTGGTCTTAACCATCCAGAAGAAAAGCATAAAAAGTGAAGTATAAAAAGCAAAGCCATATTAATATGCTGAGCTGTAAAAGGCTCAAGTCAACAACTTCTGACATTGCCAATACTATGGAAAACCCACTACTATTATATTGGAATATACTGGAATATACCCACTACTGGACTATATAGGAATATACTGGACTATATTGGAATATTTTGCTGAATTCACACACCTACAATATTTCAATGACAATGGAATACCCTTCTCTGACAAAACTAAACAAAAAAAGGGGGTAAAATGAAAGATCATTTTGTATCTGCATATTCAAAATAGGACAGATATACAGCTACTTTCTCTTAATTCAATGAATAGAAAGATTTGTTCTAATAGTGTTTGTGGACAGGATATCATGTCTCCATCTTGTACTATGAATAACCACTAAGAAGACAACATGCAATGTATTAATTATCGAAACTGCCCTTCTAATTGGGTTTGAAACTATCTCATTACTATTTGTTTCTCAACAAATTAAAAAAATTAATTGCTCTATATGTGAGGAATTATTTCTAAACTTTTACAACTGCCATACTATTTTAATTACTAGCTTTTTACTAAGTATGAACAACAGGAACTATGAATACTCTGAATTCATCTTCTTTCTCAAAATTATTTTAACCATTTCTAACTCTTTGTAAATTCCACCTGAGGTACTGACATCTATTTCTATGGGGGGAAAAAGTACTGGGACATGTAAGTCTTCCAATCCATGAATACAAAATGTCTTTCCATTTATTTAATCTTTTAAAATTTTTTCTGTGTTCTATAATTTTTAGTATATACAAGGATCTTATTTCCTTGATTAAATTTGCTCCAAATTCCTTTTGTATTAAATAAAACTACACCCTTAATTTTTATTTTAGATTGTTCATACCTAATATACAGAAGTAAAATTTATTTCTATGTGGTGATCTTGTATCCTAATTTTGAATTAATTTTAAGTTCTTGCAGGTTTCTGGTAGAGTCTATATAAGTTCCTAAGCATAGATCCATGTTTATGGGGAAAAAAAAGTTTTACTTCTTTTATTTGTATGACTTTAAATTTTCTTAGTTAATAACTCAAATTAGAACTTTCAACATAATATTAAGGAGCAGTGGTGAAAGTGGATATTCTGGATCATTCCATATTTCAGAGGAAAAGTTTCATTCTCTAATCAACAATTATAATATTAGCTCGGAGTTTTCATAACTATAGTACCCTGTCATGTTGGGGAATTTCCTTCTATTCATAGTTTTCTGAGAGTTTTTATTATAAAATGATACTGCATTTTGCTAAAGGCCTTTTCATTGAGATGATCATGTGGCTTTCCTCCTTCATTCCATTAATACATTACATCAATGAATTTTATATTGAATCATCCTTGAATTTCTGGGATACCACTTGGTCATGGTCAATTTTTTTTTTTTAGTGGAACTGGGGATTGAACTCAGGCCCTTGCACTTGCCAGGCAAGCACGCACTCTACTGAGCTATCTCCCTGGTCCCAATAATTCTTTTTAATATGCTATTGGGAGTAAATTTTCTAATATTTTATTGAGCATTCTTGCACCTAATTCATAAGAGATAATGGATTGTAATTTTCTTGTGATGTCTTTATTTGGCTTAGATATCCAGGTAATGCTGACTGCAAACAATTGGTTATTAAGTGTTAATTTTTTGGAAGCATCTAAAAGTGGAAAGGGTTACTTCTTTAAATGTCTGGTGAAACTCATCAGTGAAACTATCTGGTATAGTACTTTGCTGGAAGGTTTTGATTACTAGCAAACTTTTTACTTATCGTGTCAGACAACTTTCTGTTAATGACAAAAAAAACCCTAAGATAAACAGTTTGCAAAAAGAAAGGGTTTAGTGACTGAGTCCAGACATGGTGGTGTGCACCTGTAATCTTGGTACTGGGGAGGCTGAAAACCGGAGAATTACTACAGGTCTGAGCTGCGTAGTGAGACCCTGCTCAAAATACATTTTTAAAAATATACTAAAAACTAATATGTTCATTAACTGGCAGTTAATTAGTTAATATAATTTTAGCTAACAATTAATATCATAACAAATAATAGGTAGCATTTGTTTGACATTTGTATGGCAAGCATAATGTTTAAGTCAAACCTGAGACTTGTCCACCTTAGTATGTTCTGGAGCTTTTGCATAGAATCTCCTGCCACTCACAAACTATCTTCAAAATTGGTTTCCTGGGGCCAGGGAGGTGGCTCAGTAGAATAAGCGCTTCCCTGGTAAATGCAAGGGCCTGAGTTCAATCCCCAGTTCCGGAAAAAAAAAAAAAAAATTTGGTTTCCTAATTATGTATTGCCTTTTCTTGTAGGTAAATACACTGAACAAATATTCTTTGTCATCTCCCTAAAAATTCTGTGTTTAACCCTTTTATCTAATTATAAGCGGGGTTATTTCTAAATACATGACTCCAGTTGAGGAGTCGCTTGTTAAATGTCTCTTAAATATGATATTAATAAAGTTTTGATGTTTAAATTAAAAAAAAGAAAGGGCTTATTTTAATCTAGTTTCCAAGGTTTCAGTTCATGATTGACTGATCCCACCTCTTTGGGCTTAAGAAGAACCAGTAAGTATATCATAGCCAGGACTCATTATAGAAAACGTTGCTCATCTCACTGCAGC